CATGCATCCCATGCCTGATGCTTCTATGTGACTCCCAGCATGCATCCCATGCCTGATGCTTCTAAGTGACTCCTAGCATGCACCCTGTGTCTGATACTACAAAAGCGGACCAGTACCCACCTCCATTGCCACAGCCTCAGAATTCAAACACTGACTGTGGTCTCAGATAGTTGATAAACTTTTGTGCTGTGGATATCATTCTATATAAATAAAACACTGATGGCCAGTGACCAGGCAAGAAATAGGTTGCCAGGCAGGAAGTAGGTGGAACAAGGAGAGAGGAGAATTCTGGGAAGCGGAAGGCTGAGGGGAGGGACACTGCAGCCACCGCCAGGACAAGCAGCATGTAAAGACGCCAGTAAGCCACCGGCCACGTGGCAAGGTATAGATTTATAGAAATGGGTTAATTTAAGATAAAAGAACAGTTAGCAAGAAGCCTGCCATGGCCATACAGTTTATAAGTGATATAAGCGTCTGAGTGCTTATTTTATAAGTGGATTGTGGGACTGCAGGGCTTGGGGAACCTGGAGAGAAGCCCTCCAGCAACACTTTTATACTCCGTGGTGTTTCATTTTTTTTTTTTTTTCTGGAATAAAGTTTGCTTCTGGCTTAATAGACTTTGGTGGTCTGTCCTCCATTATTGTGAGACCCTGGACCCAACATATATATGTGTATACACACACATTCATTCATTTTAGAAGTTGTACTACTTCTAGAACCCCGACTAATACAATGTGTGTAACAATTAGATCATTAGGTCTTTGTAGGTCAAAGACCAGGAATTGTTCAGAGTTTGTATTTTTGAAGTAATGTTAAAGGTGGATTATCTGAGAATTCATGCAAGAACTGAGGGATTGTGAGGTGCTGGTTAATTTTACAATTCTTTTCAACTCATGACACCCACTCTACTATTGAATGTAGGACTTGTGCTGGGTGTTGAAGACACCATGCTGATGAAGTCATAGTCTCTGCTGTCACATGGTCCTCTAATTTCTCTGTCAGCTTACGATCACAATTCCTTCCAGAGAACTTCTAAGAAATCTCTAATGGGTAGAAGCCTGGAGTTCTAGGAAACACAGTTCACCTATCTCCAAAGGATGACTCAGGTCATTTTGTGTAATTTTAGTTTCACAAACCTGAAAAATGCTTGAGTGCTCTCCTGTGTTAGATACTTGTTGCTGGAACAAAATCATAGTCCCAGGGGACAGTGCATCGAAGGCTTGACAGCAAGAGCTGGCAGTGGCTCTTCACCTGGCATCCCCAGTCAGGCGTGAGCCAAGAATGCCCATGCTCAGCCAGCTTTCCTCTTTACATGCAGTGGGGAAGGGTGTCCCTTGAAGAGTGGGTTTTCCCACTTCAACTAACCTAATCTACAGAATCCACCACAGACATGCCCAGAGGCTTACATTAGTGATTATTCTCGATCCCCATTAAGGTGTCAATCACTGTTAACCATCACAATAGAAGCTTAAACTTCAATGTTGAAATTTTGTCCCTGTTGCTGTTTTGCAAGGGCCAGGGATCAAATTTCGGGCCTGGGACTGGAGCATGCTAGGCAACTGCTCGACCACTGAGCTGGACTCCCAGGCCCAACATTGAGAAACTCTTTAACAAGCACATCCCATGTACAGTTAAGGCACAGCTATGAGGTACACAAACACCCTAGGGTGAGCCATACATTGACACTCATTCCTTTACTCAACATTGTCTCTCGGTGATGAAGCCCTTAGGGATTGAATGGAAAACTCTTATCTCCAATAAGTGAACTAGAAAACCAACCTACCACTTTTCCATTATGTTAAGATCAAGAAAACTGGAAAATATCTTGTCCACAAGAATAAAAACTTAAGGATACTAAACTCACATGTGCCGCTGTAAAATTGACTTCTGTGACTGTAAGCTGCCCAGTGACCTCGATATAAACATTGTTATGAATGCAAGCACATGGGAGGCAATTCCGCCACTTTTGGTTACCTTGGTAGGGTCAGGCAATGCTTTTGTATTTATCCAATAAGCTCATAAAACAAAGGGACTTTTGAACTACTCAGTAAAAGTCTGCATTAAACATTGTTTTTTAATGTGTGACTCCTGCTTGCAGTTATGAAGGTTTGCCTCCCACCTACAAGTTGCCATTATCGCAAAGGTGAAATTTTAGCACATGGCTAAAATGTTCTACGGTTACAGCTTTATGATTCAGCATCAATAACTCAGGGTGAGATCATAGGCAGTGGAAGGCAGTGTCATACTCTTCTGCCTGTGAGGGGAAGCTCAGGCAATGGCAATGGCACAAGCACTTTGAATTTAGACTGTGGTTCCCGCGAGTACTGTAATTTGTCTCTCAGCTCTTACCTGATCAGAAGGTGCTTTCGGGAAAGATTTTAATGGTGAATTTGGCTCGCTAGGCATGTGATCACCAGCACCCCCCACCTTACATGGAGTGGGCAGAAATTTTTCCAGCTTTTTGTGGAAAAGATTCCAGCTTGGTACTATGCCATCACCACACACCAATGTGCTCGTTTTTCTCTTTGGAGCTTCAAATTCTTGCAACCAACCAAAAATAAATCAAGCCAGCCATCAGGGCACCAAAAGAATACTACTATGAATAAGCTGCACTACCTGACACTTACATGTAAACAACACGTCCGAAGCACGCTTTCCCTGGTACATTTGGACACTTTGCAAATGTAATCTGCTTACTAATAACGGCTGGACCGGGGTGCATTAGCCCTGGAAACAAGTTTTAAAAGCAGCCCCTTAACACAAACGACACGAAACGACCATCCAAAGATGTCCACAACAAAGAAAAACAACTGGTAGGCTGTTTTCAGTTCGAGCTGAGGACACTTGAACCACTGCAAAGCCCTCGGCACCAGATGGCTCCACCAACTCCTTAGAGCTGGCTCGGGACCCCACCAACCCGGTTTCTGCACCACTCTCATGGGGGGGGGGGGGGCGCTTAGCCTCCCGCGTAGCTCCGCCCCCTTCCGCTCGGCTGCCTTGGTGGAGCTAGGGTGGGAGGGTCAAAGTCTGCTCATTTGCATGCGCCAATGGCTGCGCTGCATGCAAATGAGGCCGGCCGTGGTTGGCTGAGGGCTGGCCCCCATAACTCGGGAATCGGGCCCTTTGTCCTCCAGTGGCCCGGAGGCAGCTAAGCCGTCGTCACTAACCGAGACTTCGGCGACCGGCGGGCGGGTGGGAGCGAGCGCTGAGCGGGCGCCGCACACTGTGTGTCGGGGGGGGCAGGAGCAGCCCGCGCGCCGCGTGAAGGGACTCGCACTTGCAATATGACTTTGGAGGAATTCTCGGCTGCAGAGCAGAAGACCGAAAGGTAAGTGTGATGATGTGCCTGCGATCTCGGGTGGCCGCTGCCCCTCCCGCCACCCCGGGGAACCCCGGCTGACCCGCTCTCGCCCGGCCCGTCCGCAGGATGGACACGGTGGGAGATGCCCTGGAGGAAGTGCTCAGCAAGGCGCGGAGTCAGCGCACCATCACCGTCGGCGTGTACGAGGCCGCCAAACTGCTCAATGTGTAAGTGGCCCCGGCCGCCCCCGCCTCCCGCCTGCCCTCCTGCCTGCCTGCCTGTCTCTACCCCGTGCTCCCCGGGAGCGTGTGCACTCACCGCTGCCCGTGCTGTCCGCAGTGACCCCGACAACGTGGTGCTGTGCCTGCTGGCTGCGGACGAGGACGACGACAGGGACGTGGCTCTGCAGATCCATTTCACCCTCATCCAGGCGTTCTGCTGCGAGAACGACATCAACATCCTGCGGGTCAGCAACCCCGGCCGGCTAGCTGAGCTGCTGCTGCTGGAGACCGACGCGGGCCCGGCGGAGAGCGGGGGCGCCGCGCAGCCCCCTGACCTGCACTGCGTGCTGGTGACGGTAAGGGACCCGGGGTTGCAGCCCGGAATCTGCTGGGGTGGACCTCGGCCGCGCTGGACGCTGATCTCGCGGGGGTTCTGATGGTACCGAGCGTGTCTAAGCTCGTGGGTGGCCTCCAGCGGCAGAAGGTATCCCTGTGAGTCAGCAGGCTGCCCAGCCACCCCTGCCTACCTCTGCACTACCTCGCGTGACTAATTCTCTGAGCAGGACAGATTAGATAAAGCCAAATAAATTCCCGGCTCACCCTTCATTAAGAAGTCAGCTTCATTCTTCATTTGCTGTCAAAGCTAAAGATAGAAATAGTGTAGGAGACAGAGCCTTATTAATTCCCTGGAGATACTCTGAAGTGTAGAGAGTGGAATTCTTTTCTCTGCACATTTGGGTTTGTTTTAGATGGGCCCTCTCCACCCACCCACCCCTTTTAAAAGTCTCTGATGGATGGATAGTATTTTCAGAGAGAAATGTGCCGTCTTGGTCTTGTTTTTTGTTTTTGCCCCTCCTCTGTTTTGACTGGTGTAGGGAAGTGGCAGCCTGATTACTTTTGCTGCCAGTGAAAAAGTGCCATGCATCGTCAGGGAAGATAAGAACTGGCGTTAGCTGCCTGCCCTGCAGCTCGCACATCCGTTGTGCGCACAGAATGTTTTTCAGAACTATTTTGCTTATGACCCCACTAGGGTACACGCTTGGTAGGGCGGACTTATGAATGATAACCTCATGCACGATGGTACAGATAATTGCAAAGCTCTTGTGTGGCTCCGTGTGCATTACAGGTGTTTAGACTTTGCCAGATGCTGTTTAACAGAATGTTCAGGTTGTGGCCCTTTAAAAAAGTAGTACCATTGGTAGCATATGCTGATCATTTTAAGGGGAAGTAATTTTTCTAAATTTGTTCTCAGAACCCACATTCATCACAATGGAAGGATCCTGCCTTAAGTCAACTTATTTGCTTTTGCCGGGAAAGTCGCTACATGGATCAGTGGGTTCCAGTGATTAATCTCCCCGAACGGTGATGGCATCTGAATGGAAATAACTGAACCAAATTGCACTGAAGTTTTGAAATACCTTTGTAGTTACTCAGGCAGTTACTCCCTACGCTGATGCAAGGATTACAGAAACTGTTGTCGAGGGGCTGAGTGAGTTCAACTACATGGGGGCTAGGAGGTGACTCTGCCCATGGAGAGAGGTGAAAATAAAGAAGGAAGCTGTGTGGAAACAGAAATCTAAGTCAAAAGAGACAAAAACTACAAAGAACTGTGCAAGAAACAAAACTATTAATTTTGGATGGCCGAGTTACATTGAAATAAGCCAAATATCGCTTTGTTGGAACCTTAAATGTGTAGCAATAGTTTGGGTTTTTTGTTTTGTTTTTCCGGTCTTTATGCCCTCAAGTAAAAGCAAAGTGAAAAGGATTAATTGTATTTTAAAGCCACAGGTTAATGTATTTTGATGAGATGTTAAATTCTCAGAAGTTTTATTATAAATCGTACTAAGTTATTTTATGACATGAAAGGTTATTTATGATGAAGTTTTTGAAGCACAATATCTAAAATAAACTGGTATGGAATAATTGCATCATTTCTCAATGTGTGGTTTGTGTTTTACAACACTGACTCTATTAACAGACATTGTATTGAAGCCTTGCTTTACACCAGGCAGAAAAAAAAAATGGCTTGGGTAAGGGGAAAAGGAATGTTTAGAGCTTCCCCTTGTGAAGTCTGAATAACTACAATTAGCTATTTTAATACTATAAAAAAAAAATGATGCTGAATGTGGAAGCAGAGAGGAGGGCAACCACGGCTGCTTGAAAGATGTGTGAAGCTTTTGTGAAGGAGAAATCATTTTATTAGGGTCCTAAGTGAGCTTCATTTCTCTAGCCAGAGGGAGGAAAGGGATATTGCTAACAGCTGCGGCAGTTTGTGCAAAGGTGTGGAGGCCTGAAAGATCACAGCCTGCATAGAGGCTGACTCGGCAAAGTGCCTCTGGTGCCCAAAGATAAGGGAGAGAGGCTTGGAAAGAGTAGGTGGGGGTAGGTTCAGACTCTTGGCAGGCATTCTTGCAGCATCCTTATGTATTTGGGCTTCCCTCTGTAAATTGGCCACAGTCTGCAGAGGCCTTCAGTCTGCACTATGGCCAGTGCTGTAGGAGGATACCATGGGGCTGTAAGGGATAGTTAATTGTGTGAATGGCTAGCTGTACTAGTAGGGACTAGTGTAAGGCAATGCATTTGTGTAGAACATGACAAAAGACAAGTTTGGTGACGCCCTGAGGTTCTTCCTAGGGCATGGTGCCTTCAGCTGTTTTTCCACTAGGGCTGTGAGGGATCTGGTTAGGTGAGGTGGAAGAAATGGCAGAGCAGGAAGCTGAAAGAAAGGCTGCAGTAGACGCCTTTCTGTGTCTGCTCAGAACTGCACCTGATGATTAACTGCAGCATGCAGTTAGAGCTCCTGTGCAGGCAGAGCCAAAGGAAGCAAAGGTGCATGCTGAAGACAAGGCCCAACAAAGCTGTGGTCTCAAGGTTCCAGCTCTCACAGAAGCTCCAGAGAAGCTCCTTGGGTCCCCTACCGTTTGCCACCCTTCCTGTGGCAATGGGAGGTAGAGCAGAAAAAAATAACAAAACCCTTAAGCTTTTGCATATCCCAGAGGCTTATGAACCCTCTGCTTTTCTACTCCTAGAAATGTGGGTGTCTAGGCCTTATTTCGTCTCCCTTTGCTTTAAGCCAGTGTGTAATCCTAAACAACGGGAGTAGTAACATTTGCTTTTTATATTAGCAGAAGATTTGAGGGCCGTGACTTTGAAGCGAGACCTTTACCTTCCCACTAAAGGATCCTTCAATCTGTTTTCACAACTGTTTCATTTCATGAAATAAGATGAGTAAGTTAAACCAAGTAGGATGAATGGAGAAAAGCATCAGTTTGCTGGAAAGAGCATTGATGACAGCCACGTCTCCATTAGGCCTCCTCCATCCTGATTTCTTTATCTGTAAAATAAAGATCACATTACCCATCCTACAGAGGTACCTTTTATAGCTTTGTAATCTCTTGGGAAGAAGAACTAGTATCTGGTCCATAGATGTATCCATACCGAAGGTGCTGAGTTAATATTTGCTAAAAAGTGAATGATTAGAAATAATGAATATAATCCCGGGGCTGTGGCTTAGTGATAGAGCATTATGAGATCCTGCAGCGACAGACTCCAGCACTGGGAAAAATAATTACTACCTGGTACATGGTATTTGCTCAGATGATAGCAACAGGAAAATATTTCAGGCCTCTGAGAGATCTGTTACTTATCACATGTATGATTTAAAAAGGAGTTCGAGTCACTTAAATCACAGTACAATCTTAAGATTACGCCAATTGTTGAAAATCTCAACAATAACTGCAGTTAGGTATTCTTTTGATTTTTGCTTTGTTGTTCTTTCATAACATAATTTAAACATGACTTTAAAAACAATCTTAATTATGAGCCGTTGCTGGCTCAGTAGGTGCTTGCCACCCAAACCTGACACCCTGAATCTGATCTCTGAAACCCAAGGGAGAAGAGAACTGACTTCTGAAAGTTGTCCTCTGACCACGAGTGCTCTGACTTGTCCACACCCATCACACACACACCCCCCCACACACACACACAGACACCCCACATTAATAAATAATAATAAAAAAATCTATGAGTTAACTGTCAATAAGTACACAATTGCATGTATAAAATATGCCTCTAACTTATGCTAATATTTAGTTAATTGCTTTAAAAATTATTAAACAAACAAGGTTGGGGCAGGAGGATTACTTTGAGTTTAAGGCCATTAGGCTACATAGTACCAACCCAGCCTGGTATGTTCTTAAAAAAAAAACAAACAAAAAACAAGTCACCTGGCCTCCTTACATGCATGAACAAAAACTCGACACGCCTGCCTGGAATCTATTATCTGTTGAAAAGTGGAAGATACCTGTTTTCCCACAGGTGACTTCACCGGAGTCCATGTTGCTTTTGTCCTTGTCTGGCTAACCAGGGTCTTCGGTAAGTTAAAGCTTTATAATGAAAAGAGTCCATGAAAGTAATTAATCTGCTATAATAAACTGTTTCCCCAACTAAAATAAAAAGGGGTTATTTGCAGGAAAGAGCTCCTACCTAGAAACTTCTAGAGTGTGCTTTACGACCTTATTGTAACATGAAATCATTGTTTCCTTTACCTTCACTCCTAGGCGCTTTATTCTTTGCCAGTAAAAGTCTGTTTTCTTCAGATGAACAAAGCTCAATGATATTGACACAGCCAAGCCAGAGTTCCTCAAACTAGGAGCTGAATCTTATCTTTTTTTTTTCTTTTAAACAGTTCTTACATAAACATAAGAACTTGCAAAAAAGTTGTATTTATGAAACCACCAAGAACTACTTAGTGAGTGTTTACTACGGTCGGTCGTTGGCCTTGGCTGAAGAGACACTGGCCTCAGAGAGCTCACAGTCTAGTGAAACAGAAAGTCCATTGTTTTGGCCTAAAGTAGAGCCCAGCTACAGAAACGCACAAAGGACTATTGTGGTCCTGCGAAGGGTAGAAGTTTCCTCAGGGCAAATGGAATAGAATGGAGAGAAAGGTTGTAAATTTTTTGATCAGAGTTAGCATTGTATTTTGCAAACACCATAACAGTGCTTGACTGACAGATTGGATATACTTCTGCTGGAAGCTGCAGAGATGTAGCCTATGGGGCCTCTTGGCATTGAGAAGTTTATAATCTGTAAGGAAGTCAAGCATATTCCTATAATGGATTTATTGAATGCCCATCAGGCACTTGGCACTGTGTTAGGTCCCAGGGCCATAAAAGCAGCAGTGACTTACCTTCAAGGATGTGCAAGGTGGTGGGTGGGAGAGTGGG